GGGAATATGTTTTGGAGTTTATATCTCAATTTTGAGGGGTTTTGGTGAAGATTTAGACTTGGTTTTGGCTGAATTTCAGATTGAAAGAAGAAGAAGAAGAAGACATATTGCAGAAATTGTAGATAAATTGTAGTTACAGTTGGATTGATCAGAATTTGAACTAAATACATCTTCGCCGCCGTTGACGACTTCCGACGAGGAAACTCCTCTATTCTCTACTTCTCCATTCTCCATTTCTTATTTTTACTTCTGTTTTACTTTTTCTATTTCTAATTTGAGTTTCTTGATTTCGCACACTTTATACACACATTTGATACATCAAAAATATGAAGTAGTTACATTTGGATTGATCAGAATTTGAAATAAATAAAAGAGATTTTTACATCCTATGCAACATATATTTCAAATTTTATGGAAGTTTGATTTTACGGTAATATTTATAAAATTCCTACATTTATCTACAAATAAACTACACATCAGTTTTATGATGTATAAAGCAATATTATTTTCATAATTATCTACAAAATTACTACATTTATACTACAATTAAACTACAATCTATGTTGAAAAAATGTTGACTACAAAATTTTTCTTTTCATCTACAAAAATTCTACAAATATACTACAAATCAGTTTAAGTATGTATAAAACAGTATTATTTGTAAGGGTATCTNGGTACAATATAGTAATACAAAAGATTAATAAATAAAACATATGAAACATTTATGTGATTATTTTCTTCTATTCAATTGTAACTACTATAGGAGATTATTTTCTTTCTTTCTAGAGATCTATTAATGGCTTAATACAAATGTTCTTTTAGTCAGCAAGGTTGGAACAAAATAACACCAAATCGATAAATAAAACACATGATAGTTTTATAGTTATTTTTTTCTATTCAAATTATAACTCTGTGTACGTCGTTTTACGTCAATGGTATAAATAGTTATCCAATAGATCATAATTTTTTGAGACAATTAAGAAAACCTAATATTTTGATTTTCTTTGTGAAAGCGAAGTGCTACATTCGCTTCTTTTATTCCTATAATGGTTGCTCTCTTCAAAATATCAAATTTAATGATCATTGATAAATGATAAAAAGAGCATATTTTTTAGTATATTTGCATATTAATTCTTGTGTGAGTCACGTGAGATTAAATGATTTTCGAAGTAAAATATACTCGTTATGTGTTTCTCATGTGCGTGGCACAAAAACAGACGCGAAAAAGGATAAAATTGAAGGCCCAAAATAGCAAAGTGAAGCGAAGGCACGGATCGCTTCGCGAACTGAAAAATTGCAAAAGCTCAGTCCGCGTTCATAAGCGCGTGATGCGCGAAGGCAGGCGCAGATTCTAGATATCCTATTCGAGATTAGATTGTATTGGACGGCCCTCTACCCTACCTACGTCATATAAATACACACAAAACATGAATTTTACATAACTTTGGAGGAGGAGACACTACTTTAGAGTTACACAACTGTAACGACCCGACCGGTCATTTCAAGCTCCAGCGCGTCATTTGGCGTGTTGAGACCGTGGGTAGATTCAATTCATATATTATGACTTGTACGCATAGCCGGAATTAAATTTTGGGAAGTTCAGAATTGATTCAGATGGAAAATTCTCATTTCGGAAGCTTTAAGTTGGAAGAGTTGACTAAGGTTTGACTTTTGAGTAAACGATCTCAGAATCGAGATTTGAAGGTTCCATAAGTTTGTATGATTATTACAGACTTGAGCGTATGTTCGTATTGAGTATCGGGTCGCTCGGGACCATTTTGGCGCTTATTGTGGAAGGTTGGCAGTTTGAAGGTTTTAGAATTTCTTAAGTTTGGTTTGAGGTGGAATTTAGTGTTATCGATGTCTGTATGGGGTTCTGAGCCTTGGAATATGTTCGTATCGTGATTTTTGACTTGTGCGTAAAGTATGGCGTCATTCCAGACTATTTAAGTATGAATCGGACGCGTTCATTGAAGAGTGAATGTTTGAAAGTTGAAAGAAGGTTTTGATCGCCAATTCATAGTTTTGATGTTGTTTTGCATGATTTGAGGCCTCGAGGATGTTCGTGTTATGTTTTGGGACTTGTTGGTGTGACCGAGCGGGTTCCAGGGGGCCTCGGGTATGTTTTGGGATGG